CCTATAGTCCCAGCTACTTGGGAGGCTGAGGCAGGAGACTCACTTGAGCCCAGGAGTTGGAGGTTGCTGTGAGCGTGATGCCATGGCACTCTACCCAGAGGAATAGCTTGAGACTCCGTCTCAAAAATAAATAAATAAATAAATAAATAAAATCTAGAATTTAGCCAGGTGTGGTGGCTAATGCCTGTAATCCCAGCCCTTAGGGAGGCCAATGCAGGAGGATCCCTTGAGCTCAGGAATTCGACACCAGCCTGAGCGAGACCAAGACCCCATCTCCACTAAAAATAGAAAAAAAGTAGCTGGGCATTGTAGCAGGCACTTGTAGTTGCAGCTGCTGGGGAGGCTGAGGCAGGAGGATTGCTTAAGCCCAGGAGTTTGGGGTTGGTGTGAGCTATGACATTATGGCTGTCTAGCATGGATAACAGAGTAAGACTATCTCAAAAAATAAATAAAAGAAGAAGAAAAACCCAGCATTTATTTTTAAAGGGTATACATTGCAGGTGGCACCTGTGGCTCAGTGGGTTGAGGTTATTGTGAGCTGTGTAATGCCACGACACTCTACTGAGGGCAACAAAGTGAGACTCTGTCTCTACAAAAAGAAAAAAAGGGAGCTATACATTAGAAGTTTTTTTGTTTTTTGTGGTTTTTGTTTGTTCGTTTGTTTGTTACCAAGTGTCTGTCACACCAGGTAGAGTGTCGTGGCATCTTGCTAGCTCAACTCTTGTGCCCAAGCAATCCTCTTGTCTCAACCTCCTGAGTAACTGGGACTACAGGTATCTAGCACAACACTTGGCTAGTTTTTCTATTTTTAGTAGAGATGGGGTCTAGCTTTGCTCAGGCTGGTCTCCAACTTCTGAGCTCAGGTGATGTACCTGGCTTGGCCGTCCCAGAGTGCTAGCATTACAGGTGTAAGCTACTGCACCCAGGCTGAAGGTCCTCTTTCTTGTCTACCATCTTTTTAGTTCCAGAATCCCTTGTAGCTTACTACTGCTTTTAATTATATCTAAATCAACTCTCTTTTTTTCTCCCTTTTTTGTCCATAACATACTATAGAATAACACTGTTCTGTGTCTTTTGGGTATTTTTTCCACTTAACAATGTATCTTTAGATTTGTCCAATACTTGGAGAACATCCTCATTCTTTTCTATAGTTATATTATGGTAAAGAAGGCTAAAGGAATAAGTTTATTTAGCTCATGTCCTATTGGTAGACATTTGAGTTGCTTCCACACTTTGTTACAAACAGTGTTGGAGTGAATAACCTTGCTTAGACATCAGTAAGCATGTTGGCAAGTATATCTCCAGGATAAATTCCCAAGAGCTATTATTGTTAGTTATGATATATTTTTTTCTTGAGACAAAGTCTCACTATGTTGCCCTTGTTAGAGTGCCATAGTGTCACAGGTCACAACCTCAAACTCCTGGGTTTAAGCGATCTCTTGCTTCAGACTCCCAAGTAGCTGAAACTACAGGTACCCGCCACAACACCTGGCTATTTTTTTGTTGCAGTTGTCCTTGTTGTTTAGCAGGCCTGGGCTGGGTTGAATCCGCCAGCCCTGGTGTATATGGCCGGTGCCCTAACCACGGAGCTACTAATTCAGGGCATTAGGACTCACTTTTGTAACTCCCTAGCCTACCATGGGATGGGATTTCAGAGACACTCTGGGACAACTACTCAAGTCAGGAAAGCTGATACCCAAATGTGCAGAAGCTCCCAAATCACTAGAAGTCTTTGTGTGCCAACACCAAGCTATGGGCCAGCTCTCACATGTCCTGAACTACATTGGTGATGGCTGGGACCTGTCATTATTTATTTATTTTTGAGATAGAGTCTCACTTTGTTGCTCTCAGTAGAGTGCTATAGTGTCATAGCTCACAGCAACCTCAAACTCTTGGGCTTAAGCTATTCTCTTACTTCAGCCTCCTGAGTAGCTGGGACTATAGGTGCCCGGCACAACGCCCACCTATTTTTTT